CTTTTTCCAGAGTATTTTTTAACACAAGTATCTGTACTTTTACTCAAGTACGGAAAGTGAGTACTTTGCCATCTCTGCCTATCCATCAGCATGATGCTGCCTCCACCGTGCTTCACTGTGGGGATGATGTGTTCAGTGCTGGTTTTTCTAAACTGTATTTTCTTCTCAGAGAAGTTCAGTTCTGGTCTCCTCTGAGTAGACCACCTTCCTCCATGTTTACTGTGTGTCCTACATTATTTTATGCCATTAGACTCAGTTTAAACTAAGCCCAGCTGCCCTCTATATATGGATAATATGATTGTGGCGCCTCGAGGCAGCGGCCAGGAACAGCTCTCCATAGTTCTGTGATATATTAAGTTAAAAAATGGAAATGTCTTGTGTTCATAATGACAATACAGTCTCTGGATAGCAGTTAGAAAACCTCTGGAGGGAGTTTTATTTTGGGGTCTCGGTTTAGAGGGGCGTGATGAGCAGAACATGATTTAATATTTAGTAAAGAACAAGGATGACTGCTGTGATTTGCTCTCCTTTTACCTCATGATGCTACTTTTTGACAGCCTGCCATATTGGAACGGATCAACAGCTTAGAAGGGGTGTAAAAACTTTTAGGTGCTTTTTAATCAGCAGCGAAGGTGCAGCAGCTGTTATAAAGATCTTATCTCACTCCGAGGTCAGCGTGGGTGGGTGACAGCTGAGCAGCTTTCCAGAACCAGACCCAGCTGCAGTGATACCATCTCCGTCTGATTAGCGCGGCTCGCATTTAGCTCTAATCGCCTTGTTGGGCTGAAAGCCTCTCAGATATTCACCGAGCCGCAGGTCCCACTTTACTTTCTGATCAGATTTCAGCGCCTCTGATCAGGATGCTGGCATATGAACCGGCGGAGGAACTGGTTCTGGTTCTGGCCTGGTTTCAGGTCTTTGTTGGAACCGTACGGGTTCTGTGTGGTATTAGCCTAGTTTGGGATTCAAACTGACACATTTATTTAAACCTGGTTCTGAATTTGGATGCTTTAGACTTTGGTCGGATTTTTCTTTTACTTTTCTTGGGTTTAAACCCATTTGGGTTAAACTGTAGCTACCGGATCTGCTCGGGCCCCGCGCATGCCGAAGACGTTACGCTACATGATTGGGGGAACGTTGCCACATGATGTAAAACATTGTGGTTGCCCTGACAACCATAATAACATCACACAGCGTCAGTGTGCTGAGCATATGTAGCGTTAGCGTGTCTAATGACAGATTGATAACAAAAACTGAAAAAAAAATTCAGTTTCTGGTGAACAAAGTACCTGTTAGACCCTGATATAAAGAACTGGGTAGCGCTGTAGCTAGCTGTGCTCAGTAGCTAACAGGTTAGCCTCTTTTAGCTCGCTCAGTTAGCCACATTAAGCTACACTACTTTTAACAACCATTCATTTTCTACAAGTAAAGTAACTGTTTGATTTGTCTAAAATTTCTAGGAAAGTCATTTTTAGGATTTTATTTCTCCTTCCTGTCCTCAGATCTTAATTAAAAGAATAAAAATTAGCTAAAATTTTTCTTTCGCATCTCGGCTGCTTTAGATCACAAATAAAACGTAAAATAATTGCAAATATAGGGAATAATATGTTAAGGCTCCAGAAGAGATTTGATTCTTAAGAAATGGGTGGAATACAGTTTGTCCGACTGGAGTTGCCATATATTGATGTCATAAGAAGGGGCGGAGCTCCGAGCAGATCAGGTACCTACACCTGTACCAGACTGGTTTTACTCGGTTTTGGACTTTTTAGGTCTGTTCTTGGCTGCAGTTGCACCTTATTCTGGACTAAGTTATACTAGTTTGAAACCTTTTTTTTTTTTAAACAAGGTTTATTTCATTTTTAGTATCCAAATGTAGAGTACAAATTCTGGAATAAGTTCTGTAATTATCACCCACCCCTTGGTAGTCCCGCCCCATCATTCAGGGGATGGATATAATTCAAAGTAAAAATAGCGTAAAATAATAATAATTAAAGTATATTTGATTCTGATTCCTGGTTGATGGGACAGGTGTTCTGAAGCTTGAAAGAGCTCCTGTGTGTCGCTGAATGTGTACATTGATCATGTGCGGTTCTAGACAGGGGCCAACGGGGGCCAGTGCCCCTGTAGATCAGGTCCTGGCCCCTGTTATGGCTCCTGTACTGAAGACATAATACTCAAAGAAATTCTAATGATGATCTGCGCTGGAATAGACATGTTTACTGAAATTTCCTTTGGATCTATTTCTTTTTTTTTTTCCTTTACAAATTCTGTTTTAATAATTATCTAAAAACAATAAGGTGATAGCTTCAGTGGGGTTGAGATAGGATCCCAGTTTTCATCTGCAAAATGTTTTTTTCAAATCAAATTGCTCTAATTGTTACGGCTGAATTTATCAGTTTTTCATGAGTTCTAATTCAGATTTTATAGAAAACAGTAATTTTAACTTAAATTTAGTCAAAAATATGTAAAATTCCTAAATTATGAATGTATATTGACCTAATAAGAAAATAATTTAAATTAAACCTAATTGAATAGAATTTCACTTCATGCAGCTATATTAATATACTTGAATCCCTTTTGCCCTGTTTTTTTTTATTTCATGATTTTCTGGGCCCCCATAAAAACACGCTGGCCCCCTCCTGGCCCCCTGGAACATTTGGTCTAGAACCGCCTCTGGCATTGATGACTGACAGACATCTTCTGCCTCCATTTATCTGTTTACTACCGTCTGTTGAATTCATGTTATTGTGGATTTAAAGACATTTATATTAGTGGGAAAAAATTGCAGGAGGGAATATAAAAAAAGTCTAATAAACCAAAAGTTTCACGACCCCCATGCAGTACCTCTGTGGACCCCCTAGGGGTCACGGACCCCCTGTAGAAGACCTCCGTTCTAAAGGGTATTGGAGGATAGTTTCTAGAGCATCAAATATAGATTTCCAGAAATGGGTGAGTTGTAGGCAGACCCAGAAAATACACTCCTGATAAAAATCTTATGATCAGTCAAAAAATTGCAAGAATTTGCATTTTGCACAATTGGATCTTAAGAAGGTTTAAAGTAGAGCTTCACGTTCATGTTAAAGGAAAAAAATCTGTGCAAGAGAGAAGAACTTTTGAGCAGGGAATTTTCTGAAAACTGGATTTACACTCAAACATTATTTTTTCAGCCGATCAAAAGTTTAAGACCATAGTCTTTGAAGCTGCAAAAATCTGGATTCCAGTTCATTTTCTGTCAAGTCTTTACTCTGTCAAGACCTCCTGATGGCA